AAATTAAACCGAGTAACATCGTAGCCCAGAGAAGGTCGTTTGACAACAAATTGCCTTACAAGAGCATTAGGGATTGTACTGTTTATTCTGTTATTTCAATTAGTCAGCGGTGGAATTTAATTTGGGAATCTTCTGAAATTCAATTTCAGCCAGGATATGAATAAAATGGGAGGGAAGTGTAGTAATTTATTCAGGAAATTATATAAGAAACTTCTACTAGTAGAGTACTTCAGTTGATGGGTACTTGTAGCGCACATACCAAATTATTTTTGTCATGGTTTGTGTTATTGAAGGTGTTACTTGGATCATTCGTGTGGGTTCTATTCACAACTTCCAGTAACCACTCTTATATGAAGATGGTGATTTAAGGCTGAAAAATATGATGTAAAATTGTCCAGGAAAGTTCACAATAATTAGGACATGAAAGCCGTCATTCTCATGAATAAACCTTGTAAAAATTGGCTCTTTGCAGCGTAATTGAATTCTTGACTACATGACTACATTACGTTTCAGAACTAGATTGAAAATGACAAGTGGTTCGACTACAAAAGTATTGAGGATTCAACCTGCAAACTAAGAAATTTTTAGTGCGCCTTTTATTGTATGCCTTCTAATGTAATCGACACAATATACATTAGATTAAATAATATACCAAACTAATAGAATCACAGAATCATCACATACATAGAGAACACATTGCATTACGCTCCTAACCTAAAACTCTGGAATATTAAGGCTGCTTTTTTGTCTCAGGGTAATATGACAGGATCTGATATCTCATCTTCGTCAATACTACAACAACTTCTTTCATATTCACCCTCTCATTTGAACTTTTTGGAATAAATAAACCTTCTCCAACTATTTGGAATAAAAAAAACCACCAAAATAATAAAAAATTTGTCAAGAGTCATCTAGTACACGAGACAACTTCTCAGGTTCATGCGTGTGCATGCATCAGCACACGCACACACTGGTTCTAAACTCCCAGATCGTGTGCATGTATGTGCATATTTTCACTCGTACGGCTGGTTTTTAACGTGCTCTTGATCCTTCTTCTTGATATATTATAAACCACATTAGCTCTTGGTCATATGGCTGGTTTTCAAAGATTGACGAGCCATATAGTTCCCGAACTATCACCTTGAGGACATGGTGAACTTTGGGGGAGCTGTGTTGATAGGCTTCCATGTTATTTACATTAGATGCATAGAAAATATATGGCTCTGATTGTTGGGATTGTACCATTTATTTTGTTATTTCAATGAGGGGTTTACTTTTGGGAATCTTCTGGAATGCAATTTCTGCCGGAATACGAATAAAGAGGGAGGGAAGTGTAGTGATTCTTACAAGTTGCTAGAGAAAAAAGTGGAGAGAGTGGCAGGTTTTTGAGCTTGTATTTCCATTCCATTTTTATTCTGTAATTCAGCAAAAAAATCATTGAAAAGCTGGAAATTCTACCAGAAACATAAAAAAACCATCAAGACATCAAGAACGCCTCCTAATTATGGAAGAACTTCAAAGGATCTACCAGCAGAGTGCTTCCACTGTTGTGTATTTGTGGCCATCTTGAATAAACCTTTGTATTTCAAAACTAGATTGAAAATGAAAAGTGGTTTGAGTACAAAAGTATTAACGATTCAACTTGCAAACTAAGAAATTTTTAACGTACCTTTTATTGTATGTTTTATAAGGTGACAGATTAAAGAGCGTGGCAAACTAATAGTATCACAGAGCCATCATATACATAGAGAACAAATTGCATTATGCTCTTAACCTAAAACTATGGAACATTAAGGCTGCCTTTTTGTCTCCGGATGCTATGCCAGGATCTGATTTCTGATCTTCTTCAATGTTACAACTAGTTCTTTCATATTCACCCTCTCATTTGCACTTTCCATGGAGCAATTTAAAGCTAGTTCCATTATAGATGACAAACATTTCAAATTTCCTGTGTACTATTCTTCTTCTGGACCCAACAAGCTCGAATCTATAATTTGAGTAATAGCATTGGGCATAGAAATGCTTATCCAACTCCTTAGGCTTAATTCCCCAGAAAATATTTCACTGCTTGGTTTCATTGTGGTAAAGGTTTCCATTAACATAATACCATAGCTATAAACAACTGATCTTATTGACACCGATCCTTCTAATCCATAATCTACACCAACATTATAAAATGTATGAGTTGTATTGAAATGTTGCTAAGCATATGACAAAATCCCATCCCAGGGAATTGTCTTGGACAATTGAGGACGAAAATTATAAAGATAATCAGATGACTGAATCCTTTATGAACAATTGTTCTTAATGCCATCTACTACGTTTTTAGTTAAGTCAAATCTGTCTTCAACCCATGTTCGTACACTAGTTATCTTATTACAATGACTTATTTAAAAAAAAAAAATCATGCTAGACTGAATTTTTCTCTTATCTGATCTTTCTTTAGTGCGCACCAAACGTACCTAAATATTCAAAAGAAAAGATAGAAGCTTTGTCTGGTGCAATCTAACCTAATGTTCCCAAGGTTGTAGTATGTGCCTTGCTTTCTCCCTCGCCCAAAAACTTTGCAATCCCGAAATCAGACAAGTGGGCAACCAAATCTTCATCGTGCAGTACATTACTTGGCTTTAAATCACAATGAACAATCTGTGTCGAGTAACCATAATGCAGATATTCCATTGCACATGCTATGTCTATCATTAGCTAATCCTCTGCAAGCTATCCAAGAAATAGCTTTCTAATACAACCACTTTTCAAGGCTTCCATTAGATATGTACTCAAGTACTAAGGCCTTGAAATCTTGATTGGAGCAAGTATTGATGACCTTGCGTAAATTTCGATGCTGAAGGTTGCGAAAGACAACACATTCTACATCAAAACTCTTGAATGCATTTTGGTGTTGCAAATCGAACACCTTCACTACTACATCCCTTCCATTATTAAGAGTACCTCTATAGACCGATCCAAAACTCCCAGTTCCAAGTAAATGGCTTTCACTATACCCTCCAGTTGCTCACATAAGCTCATGATATGAGACCCTTGATAGCGTTGTGCAAGGTGCAAAGTCTGTTATACCTTCCCCCAAATTTATCCTTCTGTATCTTTTTAACTGCACATGCCAAGGCTATGGCAACTAGAATTAGTGCTATAGTACCCAATAAAGCAAATAAAATTCCAAGCATCACTTTTTATCCCTTATGTCTACCATTTCCAATAGTATGACATGGTGGGAGACCATTTACAGGATCACCATATAGTCCTTTATTAGACACGAAAATTCGACTTGGAAAGTTTTTCAAAGGACCACCAGAGGGAACTTTAACTTAAATCATTGAATGAAACATCAAAGTATGTGAGATAATTTAGTGTCTCCAAGGACTTGGGAATTTTACCAGAAAGATTGTTTTGATTTAGATCAAGTCACTCCAAGTTTAGCAGCTTACCTATTGACTCAAGAATAAACCCTTGCAGTGTGTTGTGTGCTAAGGAAAGATTGATCAAGCTCTTGAAATCTCCAATTGTGATTGGAATGCTACCTGAGAACTGATTCACTGATAGATCAATAATAGTTGCAACCTTCAGATTCCCTATTTCTCGCGAGAGATGGCCACTCAAAAAATTTGAAGATAGATTCAACTCCAGAAGATCTTTCTAGAGCCACAGGTTTAGAGGTATGACGGAGGTCAATCTGTTGGAATCTACATATACAGACCTTAGTGTAGTAATATTCCCCATGCAGTCTGGAATGGCACCTGTTACTAGGTTATCAGACAACAACAACAACAACAACCCCTTTAAATTGTGAAGTTCACAAAGATTATCCAGGATAGATCCACTTATTTTGTTGTGGAAAAGAGCTAATCCTTGAAGCTTCTACAAATCCACCATGCTTGCTAGTATTGATCCTGTCAACTGATTGCCATACAGACTTAACAATATCAAACTGCTGAGATTTCCAATTTCATATGGAATGCTACCTCGGACATCACAATTATAAGCATAAAGATATAGAAGAGAAACTGAAAGATTTCCAACTGAAACTGGAAGAATTCCATTCAAGAGATTATTGCCAAACCCAAATTTATTAAAAATTTGCAGTTTGTGAATGAAGTTGTGAAGCTCAATTCAGGAGATTCACTAATAAAATTGTTGTCACTTAAGTATACCGCTTCAAGGAATCTCAAATCTCCTAAGAAGTTGGGAATTGGTCCGGTAAAATTGTTGAAAGAAAGGTATAGTATAGTGAGTTCAGAAGAATTTGCAATAGAATTTGGTATTCTTCCATAGAAATTATTATGGTTCAAATAGAGTTCTTCAAGATTATTGCCTGAAAACTGATTTTCTGAAACTGAAATCATTAGTAATGTTGAGATATTGAAAATTCTCTTTGGAATCGAACCGCTTAAGCTATTGACACCAAAATAAAGATACTCCAAGCTGTAAAGATTTCTGATCTCTTGTGGGATTACACCTACGGAATTATGAAATGCTCAAACTTTAGAACTCAACTGTCTTGAATGTTTTGTATAAGAATACAAAGGACAAACTCAAAAGTTAAGTTATAGAAAGTCCTACCTGTCAACTTGTTATATCCAACATATAGCTTCCTAAGCATGGTTAAATTCCCAAGCCCTTGTGGTATTGATCCACTAAAATTATTGTAGGATAACGACAAAATCTGAAGTGCAGAGCATTCATTTATTCATGTGGGAACAGGAACAATTAATTTGTTCAGATGCAAATAAACCTCTTCAAGTTGGGTACGAGGAGAGCAAATATTTACCGGGAGTGTACCAGATAGGTTGCACTAAACAAGGTTAATATATTGCAACGATGAAGTGTTAAAGATACTGACTAGTATAGAGCTTGTAAGGAAATTATCTCCCATGCCTAACTCGACAAGGTTCTCTAAGTTACCCAACTCTAGTGGAATTTCACCTTTCAATATTTTCAACATGTTGATTTGGATAAAAGCATCATTACATCAGTGATCGAAAATCTTTTTAAATAAGAATTTGAAGTACTATCACAGCATCAATGATGATTCAAATACCAGAAAAAACATTTGAACCAAGATATAAAGTCTGAAGCGTCCTTATGCGCCCAATTTCTCTTGGAATGGATCCGCTAAATTTGTTGTGTGACAAGGAAAGGAGCTGAAGTTGTGAACATTCTGATAGATCAGAAGGAATATTGCCATCCAGTTCATCTGAAGATAGATAAAGCCCTGTGAGTCTTGGAAGTCCATGACATATGTCAACAGGGAGATTACCAGACAAACTATTCCCTGTCAAAGCATGACTTTCCATTGTGGAAATATTGAAAATTGTCAACTGTATTACACCAGTAAGCCTTTTGTATTGTAATTTCAGTGTTTTCAAATAGGAAAGATTTCCTATGTCTTCTGGGATTCTTCCTGGTAGGGAATTGAAAGACAAATTCAAATCCTGGAGACTGGATATGTTAAATAGTGAGGGCATTTACAACTTTCACTTCGGGCAAGAAACCAAATCAAGATGGAATTTGTCCACTAAAATTGTTGAAACTGATATCAACTATTCTTAGTCGACGCAATTGAGCTAAGTTTTCAGGCAGAGTATTACAAAAATTATTGCAACTTACATTGAGAGAAACAGGAAAAGAGAGATTTCCCAATTCAGGCTGTATGTTTCCAGTAAGATTCATACCAGAAATATCCAATGCAGCCACTCTTTGGTTGCGAGAACTACAAGTAACTCCAATCCACTCACAAACCGAGGCAAAAGAAGACCAGTTCTTCAACAAAATTCCTGAAGGGTCTAAACTGATGTGTGCTTTCAAGGTCAAAAGAGAAGCTTGATCTGTAGTGACATTGGTTTCCGATATGGCCAAACACACCATTAGAGTGACTATCAAAAGAATTGCAGCAGCATAGTCTTGAGATTTCTCCATGATTATGTCTAGTTTAGATTACTGGTCTCCATATGTTTAAGAGCTGGAATACTACAAGAAAACGAAACATGCTTTCTTTGACTTTTTGGATTATAAAAATGAAGAATTACGTGACAACCTTTGAATAAAACTAAAGATGTGCATATTTATATGGTTGATAAATTGATAAAATAGTAAATCTCAATATAATGAAAATGATTTTATATGTGAAAATGATTTTATTTTTCAACCATATAAACCATATATGTGCATATTTAAATATGTGAAAATGATTTTATTTTTTTTAAAGAAAAATCGAATTTTAAAAAAGTGGGAACCAAACAAAACTTAAATATAATAGAAAAAATAATAAACACACAAGCTGGCTGCTTATCATGATTTGTTCAAGGAAGATATCTCAATCATCTATTTTATATGATTCTACTCATCCTTATATATTAAAAAAGAAAAGGAATTTCATTTTGAGAAAAAAAACCTTGTCCTTTTTTTGATTACACTATTTAAAATTGTCATTCTACAATAAACAACTTAGTATCTCAAAGCATAGGAAGGAAACTTTCATATTTATAAAAGTTAGAATAAACTACATAAATTTTCCTTACGTTTATGACAATTATATACACGTCCTCTCTATATTCAAAAATTTCATAAATCTCCTCAAAGATTTACTCTTGATAACATATCTTCTCCCCTCGGCAAAAGGTAAATAATATTTTTCTTCATTTTACCCTTCTGTACTATTTTTTAATATTTAAATTTAAAGTCTTTCTTTCTTATTATTTATTAAATGTATTTTTCCATACTTTTGATTTGGATGAGATCATTTTAGTTAAAGGAAAAAAAAACCAATTATAACTATTGCTATAAAATTTAAAAAATTATAAAACAGATTTAAAAAAAAGGTTGATATATAATTAAAAAGCCAGCATAATTTAATATTTAAAAAGAATTTAATAAAGCTAATTGAAAATTCATTAAATATTTTTTTGGTATAACTGCATACGTAATTAAATGTGTGTTTGAGCGAAAGAATGTATTTTTAATAGTAGATTGATGAAGAATGTGTAGTTAAAAAATGAGAAAAATTTTTGAATTTGCGTGTAATATTATTTTATTGAAGAATGCATGGTTTAAATGATATTAAATCACTGTTTGTAATGTATTTTTTTGAAAGAATGTGGCTCTAACAGAGCCTTAAAGTGTAATACAATAAAACCAATTAATCGACACAGCCCTAACCACACAAAACTGTATTGCCAGTTTTGGTACTAAAGTAGAAAATAGCACAATCAACATATGCAACTCTGAAATGAGCAAGTTCATGGAATACTTTTTTTTTTTATACTCTTGACATTTATACTAAATTTGTTTTATAAAAAAATAAAAGTAATATTACCCTAAATATTAATTATGATTATACATCACTGTATCTAAATAAATATGGAAATGGAAATGAACTTTTCAACTTGCAGAAATCTCGTCCTTTTCTTAAATATGTTATTTAAAAAGCATTCTAGAATATGTCAAATTATAAGAAGGAAATTTTTCTTATTGATATAAAAAATATTGTCATCATAATTTCTTGAATAATTACAAATTCACTAACCAATAGGAACATTCAATTTTTAAGAATGAAATACTACCATCCCTCATAAAATGTTTGTAATGAGTCATAGGGTATTCTTTATTCACTTGTATCCCCCCCCCCCTTCTGTCAACACCTTCATATGTGTATTAATCTAAATCACCTTGAAAAGTAGGTAATATAAAAATGAAAATACAAAAAATCAAAGTACTAAACAAAACATTCTAGTTCGTGAGCTACTTTTTCCCCTTTAGATATAAAGTTATAAGAACCACAACTAACCACACCTGCTGCCAGCATCAAATCTTTCTCGCAAAGCAAATGCTTCAGCATTACTTGACTAGACGCTAACTACATACCGAATAGCTTCCTGCTATCAAAATGTAAAATTAGTTGATCTTCTTTATTTGCAATAGTAAGTAGGATGGATAAAATTAGCAATCCACTGGGAAGAATAAATCATTAATCAACTCAGTCTACTACATGCTCGAAGCAGCTATTAGGTCTCGAACAAGAGTGACATCCCCATATGGTGGTGACACCAACTTGAATTCCTAATAGACTTGCACATTTTTTTCCATTACCAACATGCCACCATAACCCCCTTTCCAACTATTGGTGTCCCTATAAGATGCTCGTCTAAAGGAAGGGCGAGCGAAAATACCTCCTACTGTCAAGTACATGTCACGGTAATTTATTTTGGAAAATCAAAGCTACTTATTAATCTAGTATAAGGATCATCTGCCACTCTTGTTCAGCAACGAAACCTTGATCGAACATCCTCAAGTCCCTAAAGCACAATCCACCTTAATGTTTCAATAAGCAAATTTTATCCCAGGAGATTCCCCCAATTTTCCTCATACTTTCTGTCACGCTCCACCTAGACCTCTGGGCTATAGGATTTTTATCATGAAGTTAGGTCTCTGACGGCTTAAAAACACTCATGATGTGTGTAAGAATATCCTATAGCACTAATTTGAAATAAACTTCTCATCACCCACCTGAAAAGAAATTCCTCATCCAACCCTTAACCCTTTTTTCCCAATTATGTCTTAGTATATAGTCACAATAGTTTGGCATTTGAGTCTTCGTACAACTGGAGGTCACCCCAAATAGGTATCATGAGGCTGCCCATGAGGTAACCCAATCAGTTCTTCGCTGCTTTGCAGATTGTCCTTTCAATATTAGGCCAAATGTAATAATAGACTTTTCAAAATTGAGACCAGAAGCTTATTGCTACTCTAACAATCCTACTAATAGCCTAATAGTTAATTTCTAATCCACATATGAAGAAGATGGAGTTGTCCACAAGAATAGATGACTCCCACATGGAATATATAGAGCGCAAGCATTACATCCCCATCAATTGGCCTTCATGTTCTTCCAATCTCAATGGTCTATAAAAAGCTTTAGCAAGTAACAAGAATAGATAATGCGACAAATGTCATCCTTGTCTAAGCTCCTTGGACGCTGCTACTGATCCTTGGGCTCTACCATTAAGATTAAAAGAGGGATGATTTGTAGAAATACAGCTTTATATTAAGTAGTCCCATTTCTATGAGAACCCTATGTGCTCCGTAACTTTTGTAATGACAAGAATTTTGCTTATGTTTTCTTAGTAAACAGTATTCTAGAAAAATCTATTTTTGAGGGGAGAATATTTATAACCATGCATAAAACTCCAAATGAAGGCATCAGTATCGCATTTACGCAAAATAGAAGTTTGTAAATTGTTTTGTTAGCTGGTTTTAAACTTGTTTTTCAATGGTCTTTTCTTGTTGTTTACATTAAGAATACAATATATGATTACTTGAATCATCTTTCCTGCCCCCAAACAAAAAGCTTCTGAAATAGGTACGGAAATTACTTGAAACTTAAAATTGAACAAAACAATTAAATGACATCAGGCGGAACTATAAAGATGGCAATCCCCATTTCCCTTCCTCCATTACAAAGAAGTTATGTTGGGCTCCAAAACATGACATAACGTGGCCCAACCCTTATTGACAAAACATATGATTATGCTATTCAACTTTTACTTCAAAATACATAAGATGAATCATGACGTTCCTAAACATTTTTCAATATCATTTATGACACGTTTCAAAACAAGTCATTGTAGTAACATAACATAAGAGGAAGAAATCAAAGATCAACTTAAATACAGGGTTCATGAATAACCTACTTTAGGAAATAGAAAGCTCATTTCTTAAGTGAAACAATGACGGGCATCATATCATCCTCAAATGCTCCCTTAAAGTGTAAGTTTCCCAGTGCGAGAAAGAAGAGACAAAGACAAGATGCTGAATGCTTATCTTATGCAATTTGTGGATTTTATCAACAATGGAATTAATGGCTTTGGTCTTGAAATTCATCTACCGATAGGAGTACATAGTTAAGCAAGCAAAGGCTCTCTTTCCACCGAACTGTATACACTTCAACAAAACAGTGATTTTGCGACAAGATTTTTCGCGACATACAAAAAGTTGTTGCAATAAGTGATTTAACGTGACAATTTTTTAAAGTTTGTCATGAAGATCATGGTGATATAAATAAGTATCAAAAAATATAAGGTGACATAAAAAGTTGTCGTGAAATGTGAGAAAGCGAGACAAATAATAAAGACTATTGCAAAAAAAATGAGGGAAGCAAGGCGCAAAATTATTTTTGGGGCGAAACTTATGGCGACAAAATTTTATTTCTTGCTACAAAGTATTTGTGATGCAATAGGATCTACTTTTGCGACAATGAATATTTGTTACTAAAAATTCAATAGATAGTGGAAAAATGACTACAAAAATTTACTTTTTGCAACGGAAAAAAAAAATGTTGACAAAGGCTAGACTCTGATGTTGTCATATAGTAGAAGGATAAAACAACGTGCAACGCACGTTGTAAAAAGCCTCAATTGCAAGTTGTTGCTAAGTTTTTTTATGACATTGCTTGCCTGTTGCTTTTATAATATATTGCAACATTCTTTGATTGTTATCTTAACTTCTTTTGCAATGGTATGTTTACCCCCTTTTTTACAAATATTGTGGTGAAATAAACAAGTACCTAAAAAATATAAGACGGCATTCTTCACCCAGTAATAGCTCTATTTTTATTTTTATTTTATCCAATTCTAGTTCGAGACGCCATTATCTGCCAAGGAAAAAAGAAGTGATTTTAAAAAAAAAATTTAATCGAATTATTTAAAATAAAAAAATAAAAAAACCCGAAATGCTGAATGAGCTATATTAGATCAACTAAGAAAAACAAAACTGATTTTAAAATAAAAAACCAAAACCGAAATGTAATTTCAGCCCAACTCAGACCTATTAATTAAAAAAATGAAAATCAAAAATTGAATTCACATTCACGCCTCCGTCGTTAACCATCTATAATTGAATTCACATTCACGCCTCCGTCGTTAACCATCTATAATTGAATTCACATTCATGCCTCTGCCCCAAAATCTCCCCTCTGCCTCCCGTTAATGCTACTCTCCGCCCCTCGCCGCACCTCATTGTC